GTGTTAACAACCCTCTCCTTTTAATGGACTTGATATTTCACTATTCAGACTATGCTTTCTTCTGCAATATTGCTACCTGTTAGCCATTCCTGATAATTTCTCTTTTCTGTTTCACAGCCCTACAGACTGTTTTTAGCTTAATCTTAACTCAGGTCTGGTGATATTAAAGTAGACATAGAAATGACTGACAGTGAAGTATTGGAGGCAGAGGCGACACATAGCGGGTGCATGTGGGTGCATGTAGACCCCCTGACCATGGCAGTGCACCCGCTACAAAAAGGTGTTGCCAACACTGTCGACGGTGCCTGTGGCTGCTGACACTACTGGTGGCATCTGTGGGCAGTCCGTTATCCCTGCTGGATGCTGCCAACACTGCCGGCGGTGTCTGAGGGTGGTCACTGACCCCTGGTCGGCGCTTGCCACCCCCCACCCTACTGCCGGCAGTGTCTGCGGGAGCTCCCTTGTTACCACCGCCAGGCTCCTGCCATCACTGCCCACACTTCTGCCACCACTGTGCCCCCCCAGCTGCCAGGGGCATGCATTGTTCATGACTGAAGGCACTCCATACAGTGGAGTATTGGAACTGTAAGTTGGAAAGCTGAACCTCTGCTCCTTCAGAGGTTGTTTTTGTTGGAGGGGAGCAAGAGCAAATTCAATGAGATAAAGCTTCTGGAATTTCTAGTCACTCTGTGGATATTTCTTATGTGGGGGAAGTTTGGGTTTTAAGAGTTTAAATGATCATAGATGAGCTTGTAGCCTTCTTGGTTTGGACTTAGTGTACACTGCTGCTGCACATAGTATGCCTACATAACACAAAAGAAGCTATATTTTTGTTTGTGCTGATGCCAGATTTAATATTTTCTTTAATATAGGTAGTTGGATATGTTTTATTGAGTTATCTCCCACTGGTATATACTTTAATTGATAAAACTCTCCAGAATATTCCTAGCGATCAGTTTCAGTTACTTTCTACCTTTTTCTGTAATGTCTTTTTATTATTGTTAGCCTTAGAAAGAATGGCACTTTTGACTCCATGTGTAACGGAGTTACTGGACTTTGTTTTGTTTTATCTTGGATGTTACCTCTACTCCCACTCTATATGGAATATTTTGTTTTGAAAAGAAAGTTAATTTACTGGACTTCTACATAAACACTTTACTATAATGAATCTGCACATTTTCTGAGTGGATCTGGTGCTGAATTTTCTCAGTTTAGGGATGTGTGTGCATGTGTTTGTATGTGCATATACATGAGAGCGTACATGTGCATATGTAAATTTGGGGGTTTGGTCTTTTTCTGTACATTTGCATATTATGTTAGCACTACTCACTCTTATTCACTTCTCACACTGGTTTAACTCTGGTAAAGTCTTGATTTATCCTAAGCCAATGATCTCAAGTGGAGCGTGAAGACTTTTATGTAAAACTTTTCAGGGTTTAACGTAATTAACTCTGAAAACCACACAGTGTTTGTAAGTAGAGGTCTGATCTGTTTTGTGGGAGTCTGCAAATAATCCCTTATTTCTTGACTGTTGTAATGTTATGGCATTAGATGCACCATGGATTCATAGCCTTGTAGGAGATGGCAACTGACAACGTCAGAAAAATGTGTGGGTAGGGAAATACATTGCTTTAATTGTTGAAGTGCTGCATTAGAGTCTTGTATCAACAATATCTGAGTATTCATTGTTCGGGTATTTCCAAATCATTTTTATTCTTGTTTTCACTGAGAAAAGATAGCTAGGTCTGGGCACATGCCTCAAACTTTGTCCCCAAATTTGCAGGGTTTAAAAAATAGATATGTTTTTCTTGTTTTCATACATCTTCTGCATTAACTTTCTGTAGCATTCTAGCTAATTAGTCTACTGCCAGAAATATTTGTCAGCATGATGAATTTTGAGAAGACCTGTTGGTGAACATTTGAGGAAACAAATTTTGAATTCATGAACTAAATTATTCACATCACAGCCTTGATTCAGAGTTACAATTAGGTAGTTGGGAATCAAAAGCAGTAAGGTGATGTGACCTATATACATAGTGAACAGAGAGATGTGATTCACCCCATTTATCTGAAGTCAGGCAGAAGGCAGGGTAGAGAGATGCCTTCTCGACTGATTCAGTTAGTCTGCATCTATAAGAAGCTTCTCTCTCCTGCCTAGATGAGTGGTGCTCAACCTTTTTCTCCATGTCTGTCCACTGGCTGGATTCCACTTGTGATCCTGATCTGGCAGGGAAGGTGTGGTGGGCACCATCTGGCCACATGGAAGGGGGTGGGGAGGGGTGGGGGACAGTCCAGCTGCTATCTGGCCCTGCAGAAGAAGGGGAAGTGGCCCAGTCCTGCAGGGGGAAGGGGCATAGTTTGGCCATGCATAAAAAAGGTGGTATGGCTTGTCCTGTGGAGCGGAAGGAGAATGGGGCATTGCCCAGCCCCAACCCAGCTTTTCAGGGAGGTGTATGGCCTGGCTCCATGGGGAACAGGGGGCATAAACTGGGTAAAGAGATCTTGGTCTCATGAGGATAAAATGAACCCTGCAGGAGTCTTGGCCCCAGGAGGGTAGAGGGGGAGTGGTCCAGCCCCAGCCCAGCCCTGTGGCGGGGATGTGGCTTGGCTCCATGGGAAAAGGGGGTGTGGCTTGGCCCTGTCAGGGAAAAGGCATGGCCTGTTCCCAATCCAGATGCAGGAGAGGGGGCATGGCCTCACTCACTGCAACTGGCAGTTTTGGGTTTGGAAATTTTGTCGGGCGGGTGACCATATTAATGGCCACAATTCCCCTGCCACCAAATTTCCTACCCTATGGGGAGCCTCGCAGACCAAATACCATGGCTCCATGGGCTGCATTTGGTCTGTGGGCTGGAGGCTGAGCACCCCTCGCCTATATCCATAGTGAAATGTAATTGCCACAATTGAAATTTCAGATGTCAGCATGAGCTGCTTGTTCATGAAAAAACTTTAGAGTAAGAATTGTTCACCTCAAGTATCCAATGTGTTCCTTTGAAGAACAAAAATACTTTAGTAGTTCACTAGTTAGTCTTCAATAATTCTTGACCACAATTTGCTAAATTTGCCAATTTATTCAGAAGGTATTTGTTCAGCTGTTATAGTGGTGGTATCTTAAGAGCTTCTCTATGGCAAAACTGTACCAATCTTACGTTTTGATTCTCCCACTGAGCTTATTCATGTGTTCAAAACTCACTAATGTTTATAGAATTTTTGTAGAATAACTTCAAGGACCCAATTTCTTGTGCTTGTGTCACAAGGATGCTGTTTTCCAGAACTTTGTAACTTCCAGCACTGCATTTGCTGGAGTTGCAACAAACTCAGAAAGACCACAATAGCTCAGAATGTTTTTAACACTATGGATTCCTATTTGAAATCTCTGGATTTATCTTGTTAGCACTGTTAGATATCCAAACATAATATCCATTTTGTAGCACCCTATGGCACCCTTGAAAGTATCTCAAATCATGCTGGTTGAGAATCACTGGTATAGTGACAGGATGATTCTCTCATGCTTTTCTTCCCTACTACTACTAAACCACATTTAGTATACAGGTAATTTCTTGATATAAATACAACTTTGAAAAGAGGGGTATGTCCTCTGTGAGTGTCTGGTGGAATTTCTTGTAATTTTCAACCTTGCAAAGTCTTCCCTCATTTCCCTATGTATATTATTAAGAGAGAAAGCATGGTCTGGATTGTTATGTCCATGTCCTATGAGTACCATGCAGGGTCACTTTCAGGGTTTAGCATTTTGGATTCTAGCTTTTAAGTTCCTTTTATGCTATGGACATGCTGCATAACTTTTGAAAAGATTCTTTTCAAATCTGTGTGTAGTTTCCCCATTTGACCTGTGCAACTATTCATTGGTCTCCATTCTATTCTAAGTGTATTCCCTCTTCCATCCCTCCTTCTTTAGGTATAGGTTCTGTCCCATAAAGGGTAGGGCTCATGTTCATTTTAATTTCTTTAAGGTATCATCAGTGACCTACTGCCTCATCCATTCTTTCTCTTTTTCTGTCATATTCATGATATCAGGAATAGTATCCCTACACTGTGTATTATTTAACTGTCAGTGAAGTCTGTTTGACTATTCTCACTATGTTTTCGTCTGCATAAAAACAGAATGCACTTGGAAAGATAAACAACCTGTTCCTATTAAAAAGTCACCAGAACTTAACTTCATGCAGACAACTCATTAAAATATATACACTGGGTTTCTAATTAGAGGATCTTTCTTGATATCATAAATAATTCAGTAACTAGCTACAGATCAAATTACTTACAATCAAAACAATGTAGTTTACAAAAAGTAAAAGGAATAAGTATTTTTCATTAATTAAGTAGTACAAAATGGAAATCTATGGGACGTGGTTATGTAGTGTGGAAAAAATAGATCTCAGGTTTTCAAAGTGAGACTACACAGATCTTCAGATCTTCCATGGTCTTCAACAAGTACGTACATGCTCTCCATCATGTTCTACCATTTTGGTCATTGTCATTTTGGTCAGACAGTTTCAGAAATGTAATGGTGTTTGTGTACAATCTGAATGTACATGAGTTGTGAGTGGGATATTTGAAAACTGGTCATGCTGAGGAATTCCCTTTACTTGATCAAGTACAGTCAGTACTTGAAGACTTTTCTTCAGCAAAGAAATTACAAGAAAATGTTGTTTCGCTGTGTAATCCATGTGTCCTTTTCCTCTTGGAAGTCACAGAGTGAGGTTTAGTGTATACCACTGAGGAGAAGCTTGCCACGTTGAAAGCATACGTATCATGCCAACGATATCCAGAAGTGTGAAGAAATCCTTTCTTTCATGATGAACAGAAAAGAAGCTGGAAACAAGAGGCCAGGTCCAAATCCTTTAACCCCCGAATAACTAAGCTATGTTAAGAACTACTATATAGGGCTATCTTATGAGGTAGGTGATCCATTTTTTATCTGTATGAATTTTTATTTTTGATCTTTGTAATTCTTGATCTCTTTTTCTATTTCTTTTTAGAACTATTCTAAAATAAAGGAGAAGGGATGGAGAACAAGAGACCCAGGACAGCTTGCCATGGCAAAGACATTAGGGATGAGAGAATGAGGATGAGAAGACCCAATTCTTTTGTGGAGAGAACTACATTCAACAAGGACTCTCATTTGCTCAGCACATTCATGTAAAATATATCACCATAATAAAATAATTTAAAATTAAGTGTTTCTCATACATTATTATTTTAAAGCAAGTAGTAGTCAAAAGCTGGCAGCTGATAGACAAATGGCATTTACCAGAACACATGTTCATTGAAACACAAAATCCATTTAAAAGAGAGGTTATTTGTACTATTATGCTTAGAAAAGTCTGACTTGGTGTGAAGAATCAAAGGCATAGATTTTAACCTGTTTTGTATATATTGCTACTCCACTGGTGTCAGTGACACTATTCCTTATTTTACAGCAGTGTAAATGAGATCAATGAGTCTTCACTTCTTAAAACAGTTCAAAGTATTGTCTTGTTGGAAATTGTGGAAATCTCTTCTTGTAAAACGAAGAAAGAGAAATCACTTGTGTAGTTTCTTTTATTTTGTGTCAAGCTGATAAAATCCAAAATGATGCAAATCCTTTTAAGTCTGCTTTATTAATTAAGGAGCTGAGGATATGTAACAAGAGACTTGCTTTACAAAGGACCTAATTCTTATATATATATATATATATATATATATATATGACTGGAAACCTAAACTACATCATGGAGCACCATTACTTTGCACTTTGGTGATGTGTGCCTTTCTACTTAATCTGAACCTATTAGTGAATCTCTGGGTTTTGGAATCTTTGGACTTTGGAAAATACTAAAGTTCAGTCACACATTCTCACTGGCTGCCTGGTGGAAGTAAAATAAAATGATCAATTCACTGACTAAGCAATGAATTCCACAAAACTTACCAGCTACAGCAACTGCTACCCACTCTATGCTCATCTGAATGCATTAGTTCTTACTATATTGGACCCACTAGTTCCTGAAAGCTGGATACTTAGCTGTTGTAAACTGGTGGACCAAGAGAAGCAGCAAACATCATCCTACAGAAGCAAACATCATCCTACATATATTATTATAATATTCAGCCTCTGGGAAACAGCATCTTCTTAAATGAATATACTTTTAGAATGGGAGAATAGCATTGTATTTGAGGAGGGATTTTTGAGAAACTCTGCCCCAAATCACTGGGGCAAGGTAGCGAGAGAGAACCTGAAGAGCCATCTCCCTTTCTGTCCTCTTTGGGGGACAGTACGGATCTCTGCTGTACAAAACATGCAGGATCTCTTTGAGGCCTGCTGGAATAAAATGTTAACAGTGTTGTAATCATTACCATCCTCCTAGGGAGGTTGGCAGTAGTTGTATTTTAAGAATACAAAATACAGTTGGCAAAACTGTACGAACTTTACATTTTGGTTCTCCTACTATAGTTGTGGCATACTGTATCCTATAGTTGTGGTCAACTGTATCCAGAGATTCAGTGCTTTAGCAATGTGCCTCTTCCATCATCTCTTTATCTGTATGTTAAAGCTCGTTACTACTGTGCAGTAGTGATGTGTGGTGCGAAGTGTGATGTGATGCTACTGCACAGTAGTAACAATCTACAGCACAGTTAGCATCCCCTAAAAGCCATTCAGTGATGCTATTGCACAGTAACTCTGGCTACCATGCAGTCAGCATCTCATATAGATGTGCTCACAGATACCAAACATTCTTTCAGTGTTCACAAATATTATTTTTTTTAAACAACGCATATTTAAAGACACTATCATCCTGCTAATTTAATGAATACAAATTCTGCTGTTGACCTAGGCCTTGTGCAGACACACAGTTTTTCCTGGAGTGTTGTTACTCTCCCAGGAGAAACCATGAATGTACAGATGTACAGGTTTTTTCTCCCAGAGTAAGAATGTCTGCTTCATGAGAAAAATAACCTGGGAATAACCAGGGCTAAATCACAAATGGCTATACATGCTGCCACTGGCTTTTCTTAGAAGAGAACACAGTCCTTCAGTATTTCCTTCCTTCCTCCTCCCCAGAAGAGTGTGTGTCATGTGCTGGGTTCTGATGCTTCAGCAGGGAGCAGAACATGCCCCCTTCACAATCCCCACTTTCTGCTGCAGAGGAGCATAGTATGACCATGGGCAGTCAAGGCTGTCCTATGCACTGCTGCCATCTGTTACCAGGCAGCTTAAGAGAGCCTGCAGAGCATGCTAAGATATGTACACAGGGCTCCCCGCTTTCCCTCTCCCACCATGGTTGCCAAGTCACATCGCAAGCTCTCCATTCTTCAGGGCCTCAGGATTTGAATGTCAGTATATGTGGCACTGGGTAAGTTTTTCTATCAGAAGAATTCTCCCAGATTATATGGGTGTGTGTCTGCAACATTAGATGAAGAAATGGGTCAAGGTTTGCATGTAGCTTGCACCATGTGCAATATCCACAGGGGTCCACTTGCTTGCTGGTTCCTTCCCTACCCCCCTTTACCTCCAGTTACTTTCCTGCCATAGCTTTGGTGTTACTCATTGTTGATGAGAAGGGGTCCTTGGGGGGCAGTAGTCACCACACAGGGTATGTTGCATGGTCCAACCTGACCAGCCACAGCTGGGGCCTTTTTGTCTTCTTGCACTACTTCCCCACTAAGATGATACAAACATAGGTTTGTGAGACACTTGTTGGGGTCTCGACTGTCACAGCCTGGGCCCCGTTTTCCTTTCTGGCCATGCCCTTCACCTGGGCCTAATGTTCAAGACCTCAGTCTCCAGGGTTCAGCCTTGCCTTGACAGCAATCCCCGCTTTTGGAGGGGGGTCCACTTGCACCTCAATTGCCTCTGCCTTAGGGCACCTTTGGTGTTGGCTGGAAGGGGAGTGCACCAAAGCACCCCTGTCCATTGTCTCTTCTTCCCCTACAGCCACAATTCAGTCTTCTGTTGTCTAACCGCAACATACATGCCAACACAATGACTGTGAAACAGAATCCTCCCAACCCTGGGTTAATACTCTATGCTAAGAGTTCCCCTTGGCTTCTTCTTCTCAACTCTTGTGAACTGCTTGAGCACCTGCCAGCCCTCCTCCTGTGGCAGCTTTATTCAGGAGCTCCTTTCTTTTTAGCTTACAGGGCCAGACTGCCCTTTCCAGCTCAGTGACCTGACTTATATTCCTCAACCCAGCCCACTTCCAGCCACCTGATTGGCCCTTTTTGTCTCTGTTTCCCTATGGCTAGGTGCAGTTAATTTCCTCATTTGCTGCCTGATCTCTGGTCCTTTACCTACTTGAGCCCTCTTGGTAGCATGGGCAGGGATTTCCTGTTACAGCACATACACAAAATTTCTGTGATTGAGTGTACACTGTTAAGTCAAAGTTTACAGGGTTGCTAAGTGTCTGAGAGACAGGAAATCCTTTAGGATACAGCCAACCGAGGGACAGACTGCATAATTTAAAAATACCTGAAGGTAGCTTTAACAGAACACAGTTATCTTTCAAAATATTATAATTTTATTTGCATAGGGAAAAAAGGCAGACCTTGCTAATATTTCAGTGCTCCATCCTCTCTGTGTTCCTTATGGCTTTTGATCTCTCATTGCCTTTCTAGTCTTCCTTTACATAACTCCATAACTGAGATATATGCTGTTAGTGATTCGAAGAATATGCATTTTGCTTAAGATAGCCAATTTGTACTTTTTTCATCTGAGCTGCAGAAAATTGAAAAGTTGTAAATTAATGCAAAAGTAAAAGGTGCCTTTTAGGAATAAAGTGCAAAATACATAGACGTCAGCATCTTAGATATTGGTAAGTATCAGAAAAAATTCTTGAGTAAGTTCCAGGCACAGGCAAGTGCAGAACTTTATGCTTCATAAACTTCAAATTACTGGTTAACTTTGTAGCCCTGATTCATGGACCTGAACTGAAAATGTCATCTTGGCTTTCACCACATAACGAGTTTGACTTCAATATTGGATGTACACGAGAATATGGGTAGCTGGTTTGTGTCAGAGCTGATTTGGATCAGTGCCTCGACACAGTGGAACTTTCTAGCACAAGGCACGGTAAGGCAGGGGAAGTCTCGGCATGGTGAAGAGTTCCGGCGTGGACAGAGTTCCTGCCGAGGAAATGCAGATTTGCATAATACGATTGGCCGATGTTAAATTATTCCCATGTGGCGGCTGGCAATTGGCTCGCTAGCTGTATAAAAGGTTAGGGGCGTTTCCGCCCTAGTTGGAGAACTCCGCGATTCCCCCTGGAGTGGAACTCCGGCAGCTTGATCACCTGCCAACGACTCCCCGTCGGCGAAGCCTTGCGACGTATCCTCCGTGTTGCATGCCCGAGTTAGACACGAGTTGCCCGGTCTACAAGAGCTCTTCGATTACCGATTAAAGAATAGAATTGTTGCAACTACGATTGCCTGCGCTGTATACGACTCTACAGTGTAAGTAAAGCTACCTCTGTTTTTTCCAATTGATATGCGTCTCGTCTGTGCCTAATTCCGCTCCGGTGATAGAGAGTACCCATCTGCCCGCCACGGGATTGCAGCCGCAACCCCAGCTAGCATTCCCGAGGACTCCTGATCCTCGATTCCCCCTCGGCCCCCACAGTTTGCTGTCATCTGTGTCTGGAGTTATCTAAACCATGTACGCTCAGGGGCACATTCCAATAGTTATATTAGTTATTGCTTTTATCTTAAACTGAATAATGTAGTGCTAGCACCCTCGTACATTAGTAAAGCATCTAGTTTTTCTTTAATTGAAGAAGAATGTGGCTATGTTATATGTGATGATGTGCCACATCATCTGCACCCCCCTTTTCAAAATCCTAGACCCACCCATGTGTACACTAATACCTTGCATAGGGAAATATTTGCTTCTTACAGCAAGTGACATTCTGAGGAATGTCTCAAACTCTGAACGCTTTCCTGGGGAACCCTAAATGTCCTCAGTGCCCATCAAATTCAGTACTCAGTATTTCATAGTATTTTGACCACAATTTCTAAGTAGAATGACTTCAAGAAACCTGAACTTCCACTGAAATTGATTGGAGCTAAACACACTTAATACCTCTTGGTATGCCTAGCATTTATTTTTGTCTCATGATTTTCCTGAATTCTAGGTTATGAAAAATGGAGAACTCAATCCATTATTTTCCTGTCTAGTAGT